AAAGTTTGTAAGTCCCTCCCCACCCCCCAAATTCATCTGCAGTGTCACCTATCCCTCAGTGATTTTCATTCTGGCCAAATCATATTCATGACAGGGAGTGGGGAGGGAAGCCACCCTCCCACCCTCCTTTTCACTGGCTCTCTGATAGCTGATCACATCATTTCCACTCTTGCATGGCTGGCACATACCAACTGGGTCACGGGGAAGGAGTGTTGCATAAGCCATGAGCCAAATCAGTGACTATGAGGATAAAATGGAAGCAACGTGTACCTCCAATTAATTAATTCGTTCGGTTCTAATCTAAGACAACAGAAGGAGCCACCAGCACTCCTGTGGTTGCCAGAAGCTAAGAAGAAGAAGAAGGGGAATACACTGAATCAGTTGGTCTTGATTTCTTGTTTTTGCAGACATTAACTGCGCTGTCGCAAGCAGGGAACACAGGGGGAGGAACGGAGGACAGCCAGGGAGTGTTGGTGAAGGGTCTGGATTGCGACACAATCACCCAAGTGAAAGAGAAGATCCTGGACCAGCTCTACAAAGGGACACCTTATTGCCATCGACCTGACCCGGACTCGCTTGACTTGGGTGAGTCAAAGACTGCTGGAAGGGCCACCTTGAGTAAGACCCCCCCCCAAAGTGGGAGACCACTGGCCAGTGTCCCATGGCAGCACTGTCCAGGTTGCTAGGAAACTGCACACCAGTATCCCATCCATTTCCGAAGCAATCCAAATGAGCCAATAGGAAGGCCCTGAGGGAAGGATCACTTGACTTAACTGTAGCCAGTGGTATGCCGGATGAACAAATGTGGAATTTTGCAGAGTGCTGCTCCCAAACAAGTTGCTATTTGTCTTGTATGTGTTGACAACAGAATGGCGGTCTGGGCTGGCTGGGCATCTCATCCTCTCTGATGAAGATGTGACTTCAATCGTCCAGGGCAGCTGGAAGAGGCTCAACACACTGCAACACTATAAGGTGAGGGAAGCCCTCCTACTTTTATGGCCCTCTCTGCGGCGGTTAGCTTAACTCGGGATAAGACCAGCTCTTGGCCTTTTCTCAGTAAGCATCTTTCTGCTCCTGGAACCTTCCAAAAGGTAAGAGGGTTAAGGCAAGGAGTTTTTTGGTCTTCTCTGCCTCAGAAGTCCATGAAAATACTCTCCCTTAGAATTAGACTACAGAGAGCCTAGCAATTAAGATTCTGGGCTTGTTGACTGGAAGGTTGGCAGTTCGAGACCCAATCACCGCATGATGGGGTGAGTGTTCTGTCCCAGCCTACGTGAGTCCTTGTTAAACTCACAAGGAGAAACCTCTCTTCCAACAAGCAGGCTGGAACTGAGTTGTTATTATTTACAGACCTGAAAAATGTCCAAAGGCAAAGGCAAAGAAAACACAAATTCAATGAAACTTGATTTCTTCCAAACGGAAATTGTCCAAAGGCAAATGCAAACAAAACACAAATTCAATGAAACCTGATCTCTTCCAAACGGTTGCCTTCAGCGACCAGCACCTCCCACACCTTCCCTTTTATTATGCAGCCCAAGGCGTGGCTTCCTAATGCCTTCTCCTTTGCCTTTGGAGCCGCCCCATTGCCTTCCTCTGTCCAACTCTCGTTGCCTGTCGGCATTTGCAAGCATCCATGATGTCTTTCAGCTGTGAGTCCTCACAGTCTGACTCAGCCTCCCAGCACAGCTGTGTCTCAGCCTGAGCACGAGTGGAGGGGCCAGGCTCCTCGTCAGACTGTAAGTCTTGGAGCTCATCAGAGCCTTCCTCTGACTCTGATGTCACTCCAGGCCCCTCCTCCTCCTCTGATTCCCCAGACTCAGCTACCGGGTCCACTGGCTGACGAGGAATCACAACAGTGAGCTCCCGTTACTTCCCTCAGCTCCTGCCCACCGAGCAGCTCAAAAGCATGGACATGCAAGTAGATAAATAGATACCACATCAATGGGAAGGTAATAGTATTTTGTGTGCCTTGGCATAGATATTGCCATGGCCACGGAAGCATATTCAGACATCGCTGGCTCCCTCAGCTAGGAAATGGACATGAGCACCGCCCTCTTAAGTCAGACACGACTGGACAGGGAAACCTTTACCTTTTGTTACTCTTCCATTTACTGACTGTTCAAAATTACGGCGGTGTTGAAAAAAAGCGACTTAACGGCTGATCCTCATACTTTACTGCCATTCCAGTGCCCCCCATGGTCACATGATCAGAATTGGGGCGCTTAGTAACCAATATGTATTTTCAGCAGTTGCAGCATGATGGGCTCATGTGATTTTTAAATTTTATTAAAATTGTTTTCTTTTATTTCCCGTCTGTATTATTTCTATAAATATTTGCCATTTGCAGCTTTCCCAGATAGCTTCCAGCAAGTCAATGGGGAAAGCCTGATTCGTTTAACAACCCCGTGGTTTACTTAACCGTGATTCACTTAACAACTTCGGCAAAAAAAAAAAAAGCTTGCAAAATTGGCCGTGATTCAAAACAACCACCTTGCTTAACAACAGACACTCTGTTCTAGTTTGCGATTACCGTATTTATCGGCGTATAACGCGCACAGGCGTATAACACGCACCTTCATTTTAAGAGGGAAATTTCAAGAAAAAAAAAGCGCCGGCTCGAGAGCGAAAGCAAAAGGGGAGGGGGAGTGGGGCTTCGTTCACACGTGGATCCCCATGCTCGTATTTATTTACCGTATTATGCCCCGGCTGGCGGCGGCGGCAGC